ATTCGGCCAATCACAATGCATTGGATAGCTGGCCAATCAGAGCACACCTCGCTTTTTCAGACCGATGAGCTTTGTAAAAATCGACGCGTTTCAAAAAGGCGGGGCATAGAGGAGAAACAATAATGTACAGTATGTTGAAAATAATGTGCTTTTTGAACCTTAAACCGCATAAACACATTTCATTACACCAAATACACAACATAATGTTCTTTTTAGCAACGTCATATGACCCCTTTAATCTTTCTCTACCTAATTTTATCATCTCTGATCTGTTTTATTCTCAACCCACCCTGTAGATCCCCTCCTCTCCGGCCTCGTCCATGGCTCGGTCCATCTCCTCGTCGTTCAGAAGATCTCCAGAAATGGCCCGCTGAAGCTCAGGCGCGGCCTCCTCCTCGATGCTCCTTAGACCCGCCTGAGAGAACGAGAGATTGAGACTAGGGCTGCACGATAAATCGCAATGAAATCGCAATCTTGTCAGTGAAGCACGGTTCTAGATTTAAATGCTTTCATTGATTCAGCGTGATTAATAAACACACGACTACGACATTATATGGTTTATCTGAGTTATTATTATTATAATTTTCATTATAATAAAGTATATATTAAAGCAATAAGCCCCAAGAAGCCGTGGTTTACAATGAATTTATAACAGCTAAGGGGCGTTGTTTGGTACGACGCGAAGCGGCGAAAACCCCCTTAGCTGTTATAAATCCACTGTAAACCACAGCTTCACGGGGCTTATTGCTTTTATAAAACGGAAAATGTGGTATTTTCACAGATGGAGCAGCATTTACTACACAGAGCCGTAATTCACTGAGAAGCTACGCAAACAGCTGTCATAATCGTGTACGGTTTCTTCGTTTTCATAATCGCGCGATTATATCGTCTGCGAATTTATTTTTTAAATTTTTTTCGTAGCTTGTCAGTGAACTACGGCTCTGTGTAGTAAATGCTGCTCTATCTGAAAGCACGTGATTGAGATTTACTACTAATCACAGAACCGGCTTTCGATTCGAAATCACATTCGATTAATCGCGCAGCGATTCTGATTGTCGCATGAAACACATGCGGAGATGAAGAGACGTGTGACCTGAATCTCTGTGGTGTTCTTGTTTTTCTTGTTGGGCCGGTATCCGTAATATTCCTCCTGGCGTTTCATGAACTTCCTGAAGTGATCCTGGATCAGGAACGTGGCGTAAAACTTCCCCACTGTTACCTCATCGTCTGTCATTTAGGAAACATTTAATAATGCTAATATTATTGCAGTTTATTATTCGGTATCGTCCGTTTTATTGGTGTTACTGCATTACCTCCGATTGGTGGAATGACCTGGTCAAGCAGTTTCATACTGGTGCGTTTCCAGATCTTCTTAATAATCGCACGTAGCTCTTCGTTGGCCTGCTCGAAATTACCTGATGGATGAAAATTCAGAGAATTTATGCTTTAATGGGTGAGTATGAACATCATTTTCATAAATGTATTTAAGATCTGCACCAGCTTACACTTTTTACTCAGAAATTGCTAGTAAATTTCACAAATAATTACAAAAAAGTCCCAATCGAATTGAATTAAACATGAAATTTTGAAGTAAATAACGCCTCAAACCTTCGGTTTTAATTTTCAGTGCAGTTCTGACCAGAGCGAACAGCGTGGCATTAAACGTCACGGTTCCATCGCTGTTCAGAGGCATGTTCATGGAAATCAGTCTCTGGAAACCAACACGGTAACGCCGAGAATGAATGATTATACTGGTATGTGCATATGAATGTGTTTGCGTGTTAAATGTGTCTCACCTTGCAGGCAACACGATGGGGGCAAAACTTTCCAAACCCAAGCGGTGGCTGGATTCTCCTCAGCAGCGTCACGACATCCAGGTGTTTAATGCGCCCCCTACAGAACAACATCAGAATAACACAGATAATCAGATGCATCTCGTTTAAAATCAACCTGCAATCAAAATGGACCATTTTTACATTTTTAATACACATTCCTGGTCTTGTAGTGATATAACATCTTTGCACATAATTGTTAAATGCAATAATATTAGTTATCTTTATTGGATTACATTACCAATCCCTTTTATTTTTTAATCACTCTTATAAAGAGACACTTTTTTACTATTCAATCAATTCCTGATAGATAAAAATCAAGTCAAAATTGAATATCCTGCTGAAAAGTGTCCAATTATGGAAATAAAATGTGTTGCGAATGCCATTGCACGTTGATTTTAAAGTTACAGTAGTGTTATTTGGCTTACGTTGCCTCTGGGTCATATTCAGCCCAGATCTTCTTGAACTCGTCTAAATGATGCGGACCGAGTATCGACCAATCACGGGTCAGATAGTCAAAGTTGTCCATGATCACAGCAACAAACAAATTAATGATCTGCAAAAGACCACATATGGCACGTTGATCATATTTACGAGTTGAACGCACAAGAATGCCACCACAAAGTCATAATTTCAAGTGGGATTTCAAGTGGGATCAAAATGATGTCTTCCCAACTGGAGAACGTGCAAGTTGATGTGTGCGTCTATGCATATGCATGTTTGAGCGAGAGTGAATACTCACAAGAAAAGCACAGAGCATGTAAAAACTCATGAAGTAGAGAATAGCAAATCCAGAGCCGCAGGTGTACTCCTCTCCAGGTAGGTATTCTGACTTGGGGTCACAACATTGACCGTACAAACAGCCCAACATGATCTCTTGCCAGCCCTCGCCTGTGGCACACCTGAGGACAGGTATGCGTCTTTACAAACATGCTCAGAAACTCGTACAGCAAAGCGTTCACACTTCCTACCTGAACAGCAGTAGAACAGCTTGAGGAAACGTCTGGAAGTTGTTGTTACGGTTGATCATGGTACCGTCTAATAGTGCGATTTTGCCAAACACCTGACAGAGAACAGGTAGGTTATCATTTAGCACAGCGCTGAATGTATCGCACTCATTGTGGGTGTGTTTTACCTGCATGCCGATGACGGCGTAGATAAAGAACAGCATAACGATGAGGAGAGCCACATATGGCAAAGCCTGAAAAACACAAACATTTACCATAAATGCGTTTACACCACAAAATTTCAGATGCATAAATAATTTTATCAGATTAATATTTTGTTTGTTTTTTTGAACATACAAATAAGAAAAGTTGGGGAAAATGCAACAATACTTTTAACTATGAAATCAAACCAGCAGTAGGTGGCGACAAATGACTGTTTTAATGAGTGAGTCATTGAGTCATTCATTCAACTGATTCATTCAAACAGCTGATTCATTCACAAACGTCTTTATGAATGGGCCACTGAATCATTGACTCACTCGATTCGTTCAAAAGCGTGGATTCGTTCAGTAACGAAATGCTGCTGTGTTGCTCGGAGACTCGCAACAGTTTCACTGTGGCTTCGATTGGAACGATTTTCGTCCGCGAAATTGAGCCAAAACAGTCAAAATTGTGTCTAAAATGTAAGTCTCTTAATTTTAACTTCTTATCAAACTACTGTTGTTATAAAATTTGTATCACAATGCAATCGTGCTGATATTCAGGGAAACATCTTGGTCGCGTAATTCTTACCCAAATCATATATTATAAATATCATTTTTTACAGCATCATGTATCTGTAACTTGTAACTGTTTTGGCTTCTGCATGAGTCTCTCATCCTAATGACCCAGTGGAGCATCAGACCTGGAATGATTTGATGAAGGTCCACAGCAGGTTGCGAATGCCCTCAAAACGGTTGAGCAGTTTCACCAGACGCATGACACGGAAAAGCCGGAAGAGTGTGATTGACACGCTCATATTCTCAGAGTCCTGAGGAACGAAGAAAAACGCTTGAGAATCTGTGGTTAACACCGGCACAGATCTTCTTGGAAAGAACACATCGAAGCTTTACTTACTGCTATGGCTTGCATTGGATTCACTTCCTGAAAAGAGTGAAAATGTAAGATAGTAATTAAACTTTGAATCTAAAGAGTGAAAATGTAAGATAGTAATTAAACTTTGAATCTTGTGAATCCATTTCAGTTGCAATGTTGGATTATATTTGCAGGCAGAGCTAATAACAGTAATCCGTTACTGATTCCAAATTACATGACAAAAATTGTAGTTAGTAACGTAATCCATTACATTACACATTTCAGGTAATTTAATCAGACTACTTTTGGATTACTTTTGATTAACTCGTTTATCACATTGATTTAAATAGGATAATCTTGTACCATAACTGTAGTCTGAATACAAGTATTTAAAAATGTAATTTAATCTAATTACAAGTACTTAGTTTTTGGAATCTGATTACGTAATCCAGATTACATTAAATCAGTTACTACCCAGCTCTGTTTGCAGGAATAATAAATTCTGTTGAATTGTAGAGTCATGCTGTGACGTGTAGATGTGAAATAATAAAAAATGTTTGTAAATATTTACAGAACAGCCAGTGAGACAATACAGTCCACCCTGAGCAGCAAGAGCCGCCTGGAGATAAAGAAATTACCAGAATATCAGCACTCGCTGAGAATGATACAACAGGTAAAGCCAAGCACTGGAGCACAGAGTCAACACATTGAGAAACTTACATCAATTTCACTTAGTATGACGTCAACAATACTGCCCACCACGATTATGAAATCAAAGACGTTCCAGGGGTCCCCGAAGTAACCCTACCAGAGAGAAACACTTCTTAAAAGCAGTATGCTGCATGCACTTAAGCATTTAAGAAGTAGTGACCCTGGAGCACAAAAGCAGTCATAAGTAGCACAGGTATATTTGTAGCAATAGCCAACAATACATTGTATGGGTCAAAATTGTCCATTTTGTTTTTATGTCAAAAATCATTAGGATATTAAGTAAAGATCATGTTGCATGAAGATATTTTGTAAATTTCCTACCGTAAATATATCAAAACTTAATTTTTGATTAGTAATATACATTGCTAAGAACTTCACTTGGACAACTTTAAAGATGATTTTCTCAATATTTAGATTTTTTTGCACCCTCAGATTCCAGATTTTCAGCCAAATATTGTCCTATCCTAACAAACCATACATCAATGGAAAGCTTGTTTATTAGGCTTTCACATACATCTCAATGTCAAAAAAATGACCCTTATGACTGGTTTTGTGCTCCACATATCACATATTAGTAGTTTTCCGGCAGTAGTCTAAATGGAGGGCTCACCTTTGCTTTGAAGGCTCCAAGTTTGAGGATCATTTCCACGGTAAAAAGTACAGTGAAGATGACGTTTAGCATGTCTGAAAGATGGGTGATGTGATCTGATTGATTACAGTGCTGAAGGATAAAGAAATGAGACTCGGTGAGATTCAAACTAATATTCAAATAATGTGTTTCTTCTGGGATTGTACCTCTGTGTTCTCACCTGCATCCCCAGACACATGGTGTTGAGCATGATGAGGAGAAACATCAGGTACTCGAAGTAACAAGAGGTGACGATGTACCACACCTGGTACTGATGCGGGTTTTTAGGGATGTAGCATCTCAGAGGCCGGGCCTTCAGTGCGTACTGGACACACTGACGCTGCGAATGTGCATGCAGAAAACGCATTATAATCTGTGACTTCATCATGCGATCGGTTGTGTGACGCACGGTACCTGGTTTTTGTCCAGCTCGCAGTTTTTGTACTCCTGCTCTCCCTGTTCTTGGAAGGTGACGATAACGAAGCCCACAAAGATGTTCATCATGAAGAAGGCGATGAGGATGAGGTAAAAGATGAAGAAGATGGAAATCTCAATGCGGTTGTTGTAAATCGGGCCAACGTTTTCCAAATTCGAGTCGATGGCTTTATACAACAAGCTGTGCATACAGGTGCAATTAGGAAAATGTGTTCAGCATTTTCATCAAAAGCTCTACACTATATTGCCAAAAGTATTGGGACGCCACTTTTATAGCAACAGTTCGGACAGGACCCTTTTTCTATTCTAATACGGCAATGCATCTGTGTGTAAGGCAAGGTTAAAAAGAAATGATTGATTGAGTCAGTCAGTGTGGAAGAATTTGACTGGTCTGGTGTGACTTTAAATGCAGACCTTGAGCCAAAAACTCATCACCAAACACCAATGACTTGTACATACACTAAATGGACAAAAGTATTGGCACCCCCCTTCTTTAGAACAGAAAAAGGCACGTCCAAAACTGTTGCAACAGAGATGGAAATACAATTTTTAAATCCATGAATTATGTTTCCATCTCTGTTGCCACAGTTTTGGACGTGCCTTTTTCTGTTCTAAAGAAGGGGGGTGCCAATACTTTTGTCCATTTAGTGTATGTACAAGTCATTGGTGTTTGGTGATGAGTTTTTGGCTCAAGGTCTGCATTTAAAGTCACACCAGACCAGTCAAGTTCTTCCACACTGACTGACTCAATCAATCATTTCTTTTTTAACCTTATAAACAGAGGCACTGTCATGTTAGAATAGAAAAGGCTCCTGTCCAAACTATTATTGCTATAAAATAAGAAGCACACAATTCCCTAGAATATAAAGTAACACTTTAGAATACTGTTCCACCATTAATGAATAACTACACAAGAACACACGAGTGACGCAATATTAGCACTCTAGTAACTACTAGTATCTAACAAGAAACTCTGATTAATGAATTAGTAAGTAATAGTGTTTAGTGGAATGTGGTAGTTCTTCAGCCAATATTAGGGAGTTATGATGCTGTTCACTTTAGAATAATGATCCGAGTAATTAGTAATTCCTTTAGAAGGATTTGGTAATACTTAGTCATTACTAGTGGGTTACCATGATCTTCATTTTAGAATTAATTATTCATTATGCATAATTCACATGAATTATGAACCTGTATACAGTAGTTCTTAGGAGTTCTCCAGGATATATGAAACAATAGTAGTTATTGATTAGCTAATAGTGAACTATACCAGTTTCAACTGAGCGCTATTACTTACTAAATCGTTAATTCTGATTAATGAATTAGTAAGTAATAGTGTTTAGTGGAATGTGGTAGTTCTTCAGCCAATATTAGGGAGTTATGATGCTGTTCACTTTAGAATAATGATCCGAGTAATTAGTAATTCCTTTAGAAGGATTTGGTAATACTTAGTCATTACTAGTGGGTTACCATGATCTTCATTTTAGAATTAATTATTCATTATGCATAATTCACATGAATTATGAACCTGTATACAGTAGTTCTTAGGAGTTCTCCAGGATATATGAAACAATAGTAGTTATTGATTAGCTAATAGTGAACTATACCAGTTTCAACTGAGCGCTATTACTTACTAAATCGTTAATCGGAGTTTCTTGTTAGGTAACCGTAGTTACTACAATGTAAATAGTGCATTAGTAATTTGTTCCTGTGTAGTTATTCATTAACGACGGAACAGTATTCTAAAGTGTCACCGAATATAATTATATGCTTAAACATTAAGATTTGTACTCATGGGAATTACTAAAGTAGTCAAATCTGTTCATCAGAAGTGGGTGTCCCGATACTTTTGGCAATATAGTGTATGTGAAGACAAATAGAGCTACTGTACAAATGTGACCTGTGCTGGCAAAATGAGTCACAACTAGCAAATTTTCAAAAATGAGTTATTTTTATTTTTTACATTCTCCATTAAAAGACCTTCAGAATGATGTATGAGTTGTCTAAAAATGACTGAGATACACCTTTTTGAAGTCGACGGAGTCAGCAAAGTCAATTTTAAGAAAAATCAAGTTTTCTGAAGGTTCCAAAGTAAAATCACCCAGCAACGCTGCATGTTTTATTCCAATTCTTTTCTTAATAATCATTACTATATTAATAATCACAATATAGCTATTTATTATTTTATCTTTGTTGTTATAAAGAAGAACAGATGCAAAAAAACAGCCAATATAAGAAAGAAACAAGTCACTTTTTTATTTTACATCTAAACAAAAGCATTCAAGTAAGAAAAACAAATAATCAAATGTAAAAATCACCTCAGTGTGTTAATTACAAATAAATTCATTATTAAAACTACAAAAGCAGTTCAATCAAGAGCAGCGAGTGATTCCCTCGTTTCTTTTATCGTTTGATTACATTAATGAGACAGACGGCTTATTTTAAGACTTGAGGCCATTGCACACATTTTCGTCCGAAATTTTCGCATGTTGAAAAATAAATACGAACTCACGCTGTGTCAATCACGTTTACACACTGCATCCGAAACTTTCGTCCGACAAAAAAATAAATTCGTACCATGTTCGATTTTCTGCGTTTTCACATCTGTAGCATGCATTTTGATAGGAACGGATGACGAATACAGAGAAAAAACGCATACGAACATTTCGGACTCGGTGTGCAATGAACTTTACTGTAATGCACGGATCTAATATAATGTTGCACATCCAACGTTTTTTCCCCAAACGTTCACTTAAGACATAACAGATAATGTTTGCGTGAATACTTAAATACTGTAATTCTGTGTATATGTGTGTATTTATCGGGATTGCGTGCCGTCGGTGTTGTCTTTATGTGTGCGCTTCGGATGAGAGTCAGCGCGAGAAGCAAGCGGAGAAAAGGTAATCCACTTGGAAAACATACAAATAAAGATCACTTTTGGGGGCTTAATGAACAATTTTTTGCGAAAACCTCAAAATCGAGGTTTTCCGCTTATTTTGCCTGTAGCTCAAAATTAGCCTGTGCGCATTCACACTCATTTTGCCAGCACTGGTCACAAGTTTGAAAGGGAGTTGTTCATTATAAACCTACTCTGGCCAGCCTTCGAATGTTGACACGGTGAAGAGAGCCAGCATGCCGTTCAAAACGCTGTCAAAGTTTAAGTCACTGTTCAGCCATACACGTTGACTGAGCACCATGTCGTGGAGAGCATGTTCCTGGTGTTGTATAAACCTTCCCCTGAGAGCATCACCGGGAGAGAAAATTATGTAGATTTGGAGAGTTTAGAGATCTCAGAGTGAAGAATGAAAGTTCAAGCATACCGGCATTCTTCCGCCGTCATTTTGAGCGGGTCTGTGCAGAAAAAAAATTTCCCCTGCCGGATTAACAGAAAAAAAACACATTAAATTAAACCAGACTCTAATATCATACATGCATAGATGCTGAAGAGCGAACTATCTGACCTTAAAAAGCTGAACGCCAATGCAGGCAAACATGAAATCCAAGAGCATCGTGACTAAAACGATGTTGCCGATGGTCTTGATGGCCACAAACACACACTGGACCACATGCTAAAAGACAGCAAAGACATGATGAGGAACAGGGAGACATTTATCATGTAATAATCCCGAAACTAGACGCTCTGGGACGACTCACTTTGAGACCTTTAGCTCGATTTATGGCTCTTAAAGGTCTCAACACTCTCAAGACCCTGAGGATTTTTACCACCGAGATGGCGCTTGATCTGCGGAGAGACATGAGGACTGTAAAAGAACGCTTGTTTGTACACTACCAGTCAAAAGTTTTTGAACAGTAAGATTTTTAATGCTTTTTACAGAAGTCTCTTCTGCTCACCAAGCCTGCATTTATTTGATCCAAAGTACAGCAAGAGCAGTAACATTGTGAAATATTTTTACTATTTAAAATAACTGCTTTCTATTTGAATATATTTTAAAATGTAATTTATTTCTGTGATCAAAGCTGAATTTTGTCACATGATCCTTCAGAAATCATTCTAATATGCTGATTTGCTGCTCACTAAACATTTCTGATTATTATTATGTTGAAAACAGCCGAGTAGATTTTTTTTCAGGTTTCTTTAATGCATAGAAAGTTCAGAAGAACAGCATTTATCTGAAATAGAAATGTTTTGTAACATTATAAATGTCTTGATCAATATTGTTATAGTGTATAATGTTACAAAAGCTTTTTATTTCAGATAAAT